GTCCAGAAAAGCGCTATATAAGTGTAAGCAATTATTATTATTATTATTATTATTATTATTATGGATCAGCAGGCTTGAGCTGGCGACTTATGCTGTGCAAGTGCTTTGTCAGTAAATACTGCCGTTGCTTCAGAAACAATGTTCGTAGCACTGATTAGTGTAAGTTGATCGACCGTTATCCACAGACAATTTCACATTGGAGGTGGGAGGGATAAGTGATGACTGCACATTGTGGCACGGTGGCATCGGATGAGACCTGTAGCCTTGCCTGTAGCCACTAGAGGGAGCTAATGTCCTGAGCAAATTTGGAGAATACGTTTCTCACCTGGAAATTACAGTCGTGTTCCGAGAAGCCTCTTTCCCAAGAGTTCAAAAGAACAGGTCAGAAGGGGAACTGCATCTACATCTACACTCGGCTGGAAGACAAAACTGTTACCACCTGCTCCCTCTGTCAGGGAGCTTGTTTTCTTTTACAGATAAACAACCCTGGCCCAACAGGACTGGATACAATAATCTCTGGCTTTGCCTGATTTCTCCTGTCAGGAACTATAGATAAAGATGGAGGGGAGAGGGGGAAAGATTAGGGTTCTGAGATGAGTACTACAGAGTAGGAGAAATCAACACTTCAGACCTATGGACACAGTAGGCTAAAAAAAGCCCTCTGAGAACATCAGTGACTTGAGTGTGCAGTTTCAAAAGGTACATGAAGACAGTTTGATGAGGAGAAGCTGCAGATGAGTGACAGAGTGCTTTAGTGATGACATTGCATTTCCTGAAGAATGAAAATAAAGTAGTATCTGCAAGAGAGACGGCAGGACCTCCATACAGCCTGAGGGATGTAGTGGATGGGTCATAAACTATTTTAGGAACACCACCTGTCATGTCCACCCCTAATAATAAACTATACAGTTCTAATTTTAGGTCCAAGTGGGTGAATATTTCTAAGAACTGGGTTCTTGCATCAGTCTTTGGTGTTGAGATTTGGCCCATAACACTAAATACTGCTGTTAAAAACTGTTTTTAACTTTAAAAAAATCTGATGCATCATTATTCCTACTATAATCAAGATGGCTGCCATTAACTTTTCAAACATCCACCTGCCACTGTCTTAGGAGCTGCCACACTGGTTGGCTTGAAATGTGGAAGATTTCTGCACACTGAAGCCTGCTTCAGACTTGTGCCTCACAAGGTACAGTGACACTTTTCACTGTGACAGGTCATCACTTGTTGGGCAAACATGCCCTAACTGAACTTCTTCAAAAACCACTTGGCCAAAGAACTCTGGACTTGGTTGGAATCATTCTGCTTCCTCATAGTCAACTCTTGGCTCCCCACACTATTAAGACTAAAGTGGATGGATTTTCATCTCCCTGTAGCCATTGCCTTTCAAGATTATCCACCATCTACATTTTATTTTGTTCAAGTAGTGTTTTTACCATGCTGCATGGAAGCTTTCAGAACTGGTTTCCTAGTTGTTGGGAAGTTTTAATTTAAGACCTGTACTTAATGGTGTCTTGATTGGATGTTCTTATAGTTCGTAGAGCACAGTATTGTATATTAATCCAGGGTTCCTATATAATTCTCTTGGTATTTAATTGAAATACTACTATTGCTATATTCTTAAAAGCATTATTTAAGTAACTTGGGATCAAATAATTGTAAAAATACAAAGCCAGGACTGTTATACAGTACAGTAATCCACTAACTGTACGTATGGTATTATTGTATGTGTTTTGGAACATATAAATGTAGTCACCTCTGTACATTGTTTGAATGTGATCTACACATTCCATAAAAATATTACACTTTCCAATATTGTTTTGAGATTATGATTGCAGAGTGTAAGAAGTTCATTATAGAAACATATATGCAATTGTGGAGGTGGAGTAGCTTCTGCATCACTCTTTAAATGTTTAATAGATTCAGTGTCCTGTGGGTAATCTAATCTTACTGTGAGATAGACAAGTTCTCACATTTCAGCTGGTTACAAATGAAATTATTTGAGCTAACCAAAACAAAATTAGTTGTATCGGTAGTTCAGGAATTGAGCTTCAAGCTAGTTTCCCAATCCCTGCCTTTACTGTTGCCTAACACTGGGAAAGCTGACCTGCTGACTAGTGCTTTTTTTAAAAGACTTGGGGGACACTCTTAATTGATTTCTGTATTGTATTTTCTAAAATGGGGTGTACTGTGAGTGAAGGAGAAGTAGGTCCTGACTAAGGAAATCGGGGATACCTGGTTTGTGGTTGCGTAGAGAGCGGAGTTCCCATTTCTTCCT